TTATACCTATCCAGTAAAATCTCTTTCGAAGGTGACTCAATGTCTTCTTAACTCCGACATGTACCCCTGTTAAAGTATCATGGGATTGATGCAGCACAATTTCCCCTAACTTTCTCGGTATAACCATTTGCCAGGTCGTCACTTTCCAATCTCCGGAGAAGAATACCATCTTCAAGCTTCAACTGGTCCCATTGTGCCCAATAGTTCTTTGTCACTGGTCTTAGACTAGACACCTTCTCCCAAGCAGGGTGCAAAACACTTGCTTTTAGAAAATCAATTATTGGCTTCAAATCTTGGTCTTTCTCCTGCTCTGCTTTAATATCTATACCTGGTTCCACTTCACCATCATCAACTCCTTCAGTCACTTTGACTTCAGCTTGATGGCACCTGGTTAGTTCAACCTCTCTTTTAATGCTTACCGGGGTTGGGCCTTTGTTGTTCCAAAACGTTATTTTATCAAAGTTAACTACACACTTCCTTGGTACCAAGTAGTTCAAACCTAATATGCATTGGTCTTCAATGTCAGTCAAATATACTTTGTGTCTATTCTTTAAGCCCATGAGCTCAATAGTTACCCATACTGGTCCCCACAACCTTGCATAATGTCCTGTCACTCCACAGAGCTTCTGAATGGCTTGTGGTACTCCTTTGTGATCCAGCACCTTGATACTCGTGAGGGTTTGCTGAGACGCAGAACCTATGACAAAGTTGCACTTTTGGCCATCCAGCTTTCCTGTCACGTAGACACTATGTGTGCTTGCCATTTTACACGTAGCTGTTGGGACTTTCACAATGGGGGTTGGTGGGCGTCCATCAACATCAAACCACTAAAGGTTTCCCCTAGGCTGACTTATTGGTAGTATTCTGCTTACACTGGCTCCTCATATGTCCTTGCTCTCCACAGTTCCAACAACCTTTCTGGGTAGCGGCCTTTCCTGCCATGGCATCTTCTCTGTGTTGAAGTTGCCGGCATTGACCTCTCTTGTGCCCAGGTTTGTTACAGTGCCAGCAAAATCCCTCAAACTTCTCTGAAAGCTGACCTTTTCTGGACTTGAATCCTGATGACTGTACCAAC